CGTCAACGATTAAAAATAATTATTAATTAATGGAAAATAATTACTGGAACTTTTTTTTTCAATTCAAAATGTAGTAATAATTTTAAGATAACTTTATTTTTGAGTCATTACGAATAAAATTTAAACTTTCAGATGAAAACACAGAAAATTTTTTACAAACAGCTATTTAATGAAAAAAATCTATATGAATTTCAAATAATGCTAAATAACGACAGCGGTCAAAATATTTTTGGTTTTAAAATTAAGCATAAACAGATGCTGCACAAGCATATGTTGTTTATTATCTAAAAATTTAAATCGCTAAGTAATTGGTGATATAATCAAAATCAAAGCGTGTTCAAAAATTACGGTTTTGCCATTTCTGTATAACATAATTTTATTGAAATAAATTTATGTGTCTATTTAAATTATGTGTCTATTTACATAAACATGAATGAACTATATTAATTCAAAATTTCCTTTAACTAAATAAATAAGAAAATAACCATCAAAAAGTTACCCATTAAGGTTTAGGTTAATATTTTTTTTACTACCAACTTTTTCACGTAGGAAAGGAATGAATTTAGGATCTTTCACACATTTTCAAATACCTTCAACAATTTTATACACGGAAGCCTATATCATCACAATCTACTACAACAACGCATAGTAGCTACATTTGGTGGCCCACTAAGGAATATACTACAAGTGCTCAGTACTCTCTCCAGTATAACTATAAATTTTTTTTAAATTTCTTTCCTACAACAATAATACTTATTTTATTACAAACAATTGAGGGCACAGGTGAATTGCATAGTAAGGCTAATAAGCAATATTTGTTTATCTCCAATTACATAATACAGTTCTTTGTTAAAATATATCGAAGACAATGTTTGCTGCTAAGGGCTTGCTGTACAGGCGTACTCTTCGCTCCTGTATCACGTGAGTGCTTTGTTTTTCAATAATGTTTATAACATTCATCTAAACTCCTGGTACTGTTCAGTGCATATATTAAAACATCTTATACAAGAATCTTCAACCATATTGTTAGCAATTAAGTGTAATTTTACAACTATAAGTTGCTTTCATCTGTAAACGTAATTAGTTTAAAGATGTAACCGAATGTTCTATTTTAATTAAACTTTTTTTTAAAGTGTTGAAAATATAATCATTGTATTAGAAACAGTGGTCACGTTAAACATTGCATAATATTTAGATTATGGAATGTTAATATAATTTAGTAGCTCACAAGAAATACATTATAATAATGGCAAAAACATTTTGAAAATAAAATAAATCTTGCTTAAATACGTGTATAGTAATATTGTTACGTTGTATTAGCCATTGATCCAAATCTGTAATATATTGAACAATTAGATTAAACGGATAATAAATAAATCGGTATTTGCTTTACTGATAGCATACTTATTTAACTTTTAAAAATTTCCTTTAAAGTATGCTATTAAGACTTTCAAAACTTGTAAATTTCAAAAATTTATTATCTTTATTCAACGTTCGTCTTAGAAAAATACTACTTGCGGTTATTATTTGAACTTTTTTAAATAGCAATATTTGTTTATGCTCAGTAAGATTTAATAGGACAATTTTAACTATGAAGAAAATTTGTAACTATGCTCCATTTAAATGTTTCATATCAAGGCCATTTCAATACATTTTGTATCAACAATTATTACTTGTCAATAAGTTTTATATCAACAATTTTATTTCAATATGAATTTTATTCAATGAAGGTAAGAGCTATTAAGCCTGAATTAAAATAAAAAAAAAGTTTGTTAAAACTTATCTTTTTTCATCTTTAATGGAATCTTCGTATCCTTAATGGTATATACGAAATTCAAAAAGAAAAGTTCCTTTGTTACCAATTTGAAAAAATTATTACTTTAGTAGTAAATGCTATAGTAACATAAGAAATCAGCCTAGGGAGTTTGAAACCTTGAATTTTCAACATCTACACATTTGTAGGGAATATTTTTGTTTTTAATTTTTCTTAAAAGAATATTATATTATTGTACATAATCAATTAATACATGAGTGTTGTAAATCGTGTTAAAAATTGCATGTATGGTTGAGAATTCTTGTAACAGATTATGAAGAAGCTCGTTATAAGGGAAACCAGGATTTAGTTGAAGTTGAAAACACATAATAATGTATTGAATAACAAAAACAATTCAAGATAAACACATAAGAGAAACCAGCAGCTGGTATTAGGGTAGATAATTTTGGTTTAAAAGTATTTTTATTGTACTCAATTAAATTGATTTCATAAAAATAGAAAAGTATTTAATATATCTTATGTTTTAATTCGTTATTAGATTAAAGTAATAAATAAAAAAAAACTATAATAGTCAAAATAAGAATTTGTTAATTATGCTCTTTATCTTTTTTATTGATATTTCTTAAAATATTAAAACATAAAAATAAAAATCTAATCACATTTTTTAAAAACAATATAAAGGGGGTTCAGAGCATGAAATTTCTCAAATAAAATAAATAATAATTAAGAAATAATTTAAGCTTTCTTTTCTGTTTGTAGTACTTAACTATGAAAGGCTGTGCAAAATGAATAATAATTAATACGATGTTATACTTTTAAAGGTATTTACATCCACGATTCTGCATTGATATTTTAAAATGTTATAATTTCAATAGTGCGAAATTTGAGAAAGTAAAAGTTTAGGATTTGATAGATAATTTTAAAAAATTAAACAAATAAAAGTGGAAATTTAATTTTAGATACATAATTTTTTCAAACGAGTGAAAGACTAAATTTTTAAAACATATAAATCCTAAATTGAAATAACTAACACATTTTAAACAATAATATTACTTTCAGTTATTCGAAACATAAATTTAAGCTTTTGGAAATTAAAAATTTTATTAAATGTCATAAATTCCATTCATTAAATGTTCATGACTTTCATTGAATGTTATAAATGCGAACAATATCAGAGTATATATCAATGATTGAATTGTATAAGAATTCAAAAGAATGCATGCATTTTAAAATAAAAACTTGCATTTTGAACCCCCTTAAAACATTATTTAATTTTTATAGAGTAATTATCAATAAAAATTGAATAAATTTCTTACTAACTTAATATTCAACTTCTCACAAAGATTCAACTAATAAATTAGGGTCAAATCATATTGTATAAAACGCAATTGATAAACACAGGAAAAAAAACTTAAACTTCTATCATCTGACAAACTAGAGCGTCATCTTGTGATTGTGTTCAAAAATGATTTTAAAACCTATGCATTCTAGAACTGATGTTACTGAATTTACAACAAAAATGATTATCAGGAATGTTTGTCGTTACACAAAATTCACAGAACAAATAATGCAATGATTATCTTCGATGAGAGTGACAACATACAAACACTTATAATGTGTTTAACAACACATCGCATTAATTAATATTGCATTCAAGAACACAGTTAAGACATAAAGTTTTATAATAATTTACAAAAAATTACTTCTTGATTATGGAAAAATATGTATAGAATAGGCAAGGTGATAAGAAATATCTCAGAAATATACCTTAGCAGAACTTTTGACAAAAAATAATTAAATATGCAAAATAAAGAATGAATTTTGGCATGTAATGATTTAAGGTTTCATTAAAAAATAATTTTTTTGAAACTTTGTTCAAGCATTTTCGGCCTAAACTAAATACTTAATGTGACCAAAGAATCATTGATTTATAATATTGATGATAACTGACCGATAGTGGAAAGCTTTTGCAAGATAAACATTAAGTACTGACATAGCAGGTAATCGCCAACTGAACGAATATTGACAGATAATCATAAAAAAACTGGTAGATGACCGTAAAAGTATTAAACGACAATCATAGGAGTATTGGTTAATAACAAGAAGATTATCGGCTGATTATCAAAGGAATATTGGAAGGTAATATATTTGGCCGTTAATCATAAAAGCATTAGCCTGCATCAGAAGAACATTAACCTATAACCAGAAAAGTTATAAAGTTATAGTCAATAGCTGTAAAGCTCTTGGCAGTTAACCATAAAATCATTAACAATATCATTAACTTTAAATTAAAATCATTAATTTTAAATTAAAATCATTCACATTAAAATCATTATAATTTTTTTTTTCGAATTTAAAAAATAGCTTTCCAAATTTACTTTGATTTTTAAACAGCTTCTCAGCTTGTATTTAAATTTAATATAATTAAAAAAAATGAGTTTTAAATAAAAAAAAATGGTGACTTTCATTCCGCTACAATTAAAAATAGATGTAAAATTGAAAAAACAAACAAACATGTATCTTCATGGTTGAGTAAATGACTCCTTTTTGATTCTAAGTTATTTTTTGTCACCTTGTAAACTTCTTGTCTGCTTCAAAACAATTTTGTTATGAGTTATTTGACAAAGGGTTTAAATTATACGAAATATTTAATTATATACTTTTATTGACCTTTTGAAATTTCTGTAAAAGTTTGCACTTTGCGATTTCCTACAATTTATTTAAAAGTTTTTTATAGTTTATTTTATATTATCACAAAATTGATATAATTTTTTTAAATTCCTATAAGCATAGCAAATCTGAACATTATAATTGTTCCGGCTACTTGCTTACGTAGATTAATATCTATACTTAATTAACCTGTTTTAGAACGATATGTTTTTTTTTAATAAAAGTGACATTATACTGCAAGATATTTTACATCATTATTTTATATAAACGGTTAAATATTCCAATTTATAATAATTAAATCAAATATAAAAATGTATTATATTAATTTTCAATGCATTTTAAGGTATATTTTGATTAGAAAAATTAAAAAAAAAATAATTTGCGTATTTGGAATTTTTTTGCGTAATTACTTTTAAATTCTAATATAAATATATAAATAAGCAAATGTTAATACTGTTTGGATTCCGGGTTGGATACTTGATTTAAAAAAAATTAAATTTTAACTTTTTTAAATATGAAATTAATTTATTTTTTAAAATTAATTATGAATTAATAAAGCACGTCATTATATTTTATTACTTCTTGAAATTCAAAAAAATATTTCATTTGACATGATTTAACAACGGCTCGAGTGTTATAAAAATAATTTTCTGTCATAAATAATTTTCTCAAGAGCCTTTGAAAGGAGTTTGCCAAATCGTTTCAGTTAAAAATGATTATTTCAAATATGTTTTGAAAAAATAAATGTTCGTTTTATGTTTATTAAATCACAATAATTTTTTTTTGTAAAAAATAGATAAAAGTATTTATCTGAAAAAGATATTTTTTGTTGGAAATTTTAGAATTATGAACAAATCGTTCTAAAACAGATTCGGAGCGACTATTAATATATATATTTTGCTCTCACAGTCTATAAGTGCTTTTAAATTATTTCACAAATCCCCAACAATAAGAGGAAGAGCTCTCCATAAAACCACGAAAAGTGATTTTTCTCTCTTGTAATTTTGTTGTCTGTTATCAGGGGGGCTTATAACACCAGACACCAGGTGTTAGTCTCTGTTGTCATTAATACTAATCAAGCAGAAGCACTCCATGGACTATACCGCGTCATCAGCGGTCACTTTTTTTAGGATGTTTCATGGTCAAACTTTGCAACGTTTCTCATCGGCGAGTGATCACATGCGGTGGAACTCTTATGCTTGGAACATGGACTGGAAGACCTGCTCCGTGTTGGGCAAGCTCGTGGCCTGAAAGAAAGTCTCGGATCTGTGCATGGATCCGGGCTCGGAACTGTCCGGAAATCCCAGGTCCATTCGCGGAAAACAGCTCTCGGACTTGGGTCTGGGCATACCCCTCGCCACAGACAAGTGCCCTCCCATGAGGGGGGCTTTGTTAGAATCGTCCGAGTCACTTTGGGCACTCTGCAACAGTAAGCTGACCGTCTTCAGGTCGGTTTGCAGGTCTTCTCGATTTGAGACTAGGCTTGGATTTTTGCCGATTTTGTTGAGCCTTTCGGCGGCGATTGATTCCATGGTTCGCCGCATGAGTGGATATAGATCGAGGACGGCGTTAAAATGTTCCACTGATAAAGAGAATAAGTTGCAATAGGTCTCGGCCCGAACGCTCGCCACACGCCGGGCGTTCGTCAGCAAGCAGATTTCTAAAACAAATCAATATTGATAATTAGTAAATGACTTTAAAGAAAACATTTTTAGCAATTATGGTTTGCTAAAATTTTAATAAATTTCTAAAGTTGAAAGTTTCAGAAAACTTCATACTGGCATTTTAAATTTTTTTTTAACATAAAATATGTTCCATAACTAAATTATTTTGAGACATGAAGAGCATAATGAAAAACCATTGGAGTATATGACATGAGTCATTTTCAATGGAATTTTGTATTCATGTAGCAACAAAAAGCTAGCAAATAGTAAATCGAATGTAAAACTAAAGTAATGATAATGAACACACAAAAGTACTTATAAAACTCAGGAAAAAAATAGCTATTAGGCGTCTTGATTTAAAAAAGCCTTAACAAAGTAATCTTGACTGGTACAAAACGGATCTTTTCTTTAACGTGCGTTGAGTATTTTTTTTTAATTGTTAAGTTACGTTTTTTAAGATTCCGTTTTTTCCACATTTTTTCAAGAATAAATTAGAAGTCCATCAATCGACAAGACAAGTACACTTTGATTTAAGAATGGACTGCATTTATTTCGATCCTCCTCATTTCACATTTATTAAAATTGAAAAATAAAAATTAGATTTAATTAAATGCTGATAGTTTCAATCTAATTCAATAAAAAATAATAACAATACATTCAACAAACAACAGCAACGACAACAGTAAGACATATAATGAATCAGAAGCCAATGGATTTTTGAAAGGCAGTTTTAAAATTTAAATTTAATTTTTAAAGAAGTAGAAAATTGTCAACTTGCCTCCAAAGTATGAGCCATCCGATAAGCTGGTGGCGACTTCACCATTACTCATAACAATATCTACTATACCTTCTTGTATGAAATACATCTTCGTACCTATAGTACCTTCTTTAATAATGACGTCACCCGGCTGAAATACCTCATATTTTAGCTTAGTGACGACGTCATTCACGAAGTTGGGATCTGCGTTCGCAAAGAAAGGAACCGAAGCCACCAGGGAACGGCAGTTATAGTTGATGACGTCCTTAAATTATTAAAAAAACATTTATTACATAATAAATCTTAAAAACATGATTTTTTGAAGCTTATGGATTAGTTTATTTAATTTTCGCTTCAGGAATAAGCATGTAGTAAGAAATGTAGTATGTATGTAAGCTTAGAATTTCAACAAGAAAATGAAATGATGCTGATATGATTTTATGCCAGCGTTTAAAAATGAATTGCAGACTAATTTGCATATTTATAAATATTTGCTGATTTTAAATTTTTTATTAATGTTTATAACTGAATTATTTTACAGAAATTAATATGACAGTAATAATACCCTAAAACCAGATATTTATATCATTAAAAAATAATATTTTCAAATTTATTAAAAAAAAAAAAAAACCCTTGATAGTTGTAAATACAAACACACCGAAATGCTTATGTTTAGTTTTTTTTAACTTTATATCTAGGTTCGGAAAATTCATAAAAATAACTGAAACAGTTTCTCACTCTCACTGTTCAATCTTTTAGTCAATTGATTTCTTGCGATATCTTTTTTTATAAAACAATTTTTTTTTGAATCAACAGCAATGGTATGCAAAAAAAATATAATTATTTATGAATCAGGAATGTATAAAGAAATATGGATAAAGAAATTATGGACAAAGAAATTATAATGATTGAATTAAACAAACGCTTCAAATGAATTAGCATTTGATTGTGATATGCTCGTTTTTTTTTTGCACAAGATTTTCAGAATAATCTATCTAAATTTGAGTTTTAACCATAAGGCCATAAAGCTGTACCAAAAGTTATGCTGGGTGTTATCAGAATTCAAATACACTGATAGAAAAAAAATCTCAACACCAAGAAAAAATTATTATAGAGTAATGAAATTTCGGCGATGTGTTTATCTGAGCAACATATTTAATTAATTAAAGTTTCAGGGTCACAGGTAGTTGAGAGAAAAACAATTTCAAATGTGAAATACTGGTACATTACTAACCGCTATAACCAGCAGAATTTTCAATGCAAGCATTCAAAATTGCACGCATTGTGTCATACAGATGCCGTATGCTATTTTATGGGAAGGAGTTCGCGCCTGTTGCATTTGGATAGTCAATACGGGATAGTTAATGCTGGTTGTGAATGACGCTGAAGTTGTCGGCCAATGATGTCCCATGCGTGCTCGATTGGTGAAAGATCTGGTGATCTAGCAGGCCAAGGAAACATGTCGACTTTCCGTAGCGCATGTTGGGTTACAACAGCAGTATGAGGGTGAGTGTTATCCTGTTGAAAAATACTCCCTTGAATCACCAGGTTGACGTACTAGCTTACAGTCAAGGTGCACGGAATAACAAGAGTGCTTCTGCTGTCATAGGAAATTACTCCCTAGAGCATAACTCCAGGTGTAGGTCCAGTGTTTCTAGGCCAAAAACAGCTCGGTAGAAGGCTCTCATCTGGTCACCTTTTAATTAATATACGACTATGACTGGTACCAAGGCAGAACCAACTCTCATCAGAAAACACAGTAGATCTCCACTCTGTCCTCCAGTGAACTCTAACTCGACACCACTCAGGTCGTTAGCGGCAGTGGTTTGGAGTGAGTGGAATGCAAGCTACAGGGGGAGTTAAGGAGTTCTCACTCGGAACTGTACTTGAAGTCGCCGATTTGTAACAGTTCGTTGTATCACTGTAGTACCAACTGCAGCTCGAATTTCTGATGCAGACGCAACACAGTGCGCCACAGACATGAGCCGTACACGGTGGTCTTCTCTCTGAGTAGTGCCACGTGGCCATCCAGAACTCGTTCTTCTTAAGAGTACCTTCCTTTGGCCACAGCTCGCAGCAATCATAAGCAGTGGATACATTTCTCCCCAGTTTTTCTGCAATATCGCGGAAAGAAAATCCAACTTCTCGTATCCCTATTACACTACCACTTTCAAAGTCAGTGAGCTGTTGATAATGGTTCGTCTTCTTAAAAAAATTCTTGACTACCAGCAACTATGTCAAAATTTAACGAAAACTAGCGCTTACGAACTGTAGAACACGTATTTAAAGCAACCCTGATTTGAATGTTCACAGGGGCGCTACTAGCGCCAAACTTATGCGCCAACCACGGAATTTGAATAAACATAATTTTTTAGTTGTATAAACAAGCCTACCAAATTTAATTTATCTAGCAGAACTCGTTCTTTGTGGTGGGAGTTCTTCCCCGTCAGTGTATATCGAACCATATCGTTAGAAATATCGATATTTTTTCGATATAACTAATTTGCATTATTTCTTACATTTGTCAATGGTTTCTTCACTCCTATGAAGTTTATCAACACGCACGGCGCTATTGTATTACATAAATATTGTTAATGATAATATACTCATTATTGCGTTTGATATTTATCGATTTCCAAAACGACCATAAATTTATCGTATCTTAAATTATTATTACTGGTGATTTTTGCGACATTATCATAAGCGATATTATAGCTGACGATAAAAACTGAAAATTTAACATTTATGTTCAGGTGGTATGGCATTTGAATACTTAAAAAGAAATGCCTTAAAAATATCGTTATAGCGAATTTTAAAAAATATCAATTTTTCACGATGCATTAAGCCAATTTGTAAAGCTCTATCCTAAAAGAAAATGAGCTGAGCATATGATGCACGGTTATTCTTTCATAATATGAATAAAGAAATTCAGAAATAAAAACGAACAGCAATATACCTTTATTTAAATTAATTTATATTTTCAGTTAAGAAAATTAAATAATTATTTCATAACTTACTTCTCTAAGTCTCTCGGATAACTCGCCAAGGATCATCTCCTCGTCGAAGAACTTCCCTTGATATCGATGTTCAAAGTAATCTGTTATTCGAGTTCTAAGTTCTCTGTGTAGTTTTCTATAAGCCATATACTCTTCTACTTGTTTTAGCTAGAAAAAAAAATAAATAATGTTATTCGAGTTCTAAGTTTTCTGTGTAATTTTCTATAAGCTATATACTCTTCTACTTGTTTTAGCTAGAAAAAAAATTAATGTTATTCGAGTTCTAAGTTCTCTGTGTAGTTTTCTATAAGCCATATACTCTTCTACTTGTTTTAGCTAGAGAAAAAAAATAATTTCTCAATATTACTCTTCAATTGAACAGTTTTACGATAAAGGTATTTTGTTTTTTCTTCTTCTAAAAATACTATTCTTAATCTTTAGATATTAAAAAAGACGAATTTACGTATTAAATATTAATTTATCAGAAAGACAGCTGCTTAAAAGTTTCAAGATTTCAAGCGAAATATTTGTTTTTTCGCTTTTTGATGTTTTTTCTTTCTATAACCATCGTTGAACAGCCAACTCGATTTTGAGTTACGACTACTAATGTTCAACTCCATAGCCTTGTAATTTTGAACTCAATTCTGAAGACAAGGGAACTCCTGGTTCAAGTATTGAGAGAAATTTGCCTTCGTGAAGGATTTTTTGATGGAACTAACCCGTATTTGTGTTGAAAGGAGAGGAAAGCCACTGTAACCTCCTAAGGTTAGCCTGACGGCAAGGGGACTCTAACCCATGATGGGTCTACCTCTGAGGATATTTTTCGTGAACATTGTGGTCGGTGCGAGCCGGAGGCGGAATTCCTATCGACTAGCTTGGCAAAATTGTCATGATAGAGCATAATTTGACGGTACTATATATTTATTTAAAAAAAAAAAGGCATCAAAATAGACACGCCAGTCAAAAACTAGTAGTATACAGTAAGAAATTCCGGATCAATTTACCGAAACACTTTACGAACATTTTATCGTAAATCCGTCGTAAAACTTTACGGAACATTTTACCGTAAATCCGTTGTAAAACTTTACGGAGCAAGGAATCTGATATACCGCAATTTTCACAGTGGTATTTACAATGGAATCACTGTAATTAAATAAATATTATCGTAAAAGTACTATATAAAATTTTACAGTAAAAATGAATTTTTCGTTAAAATGGATTTTACGTACATCTTTTTTACGTTTTACGGATTATTGGGAAACCTCCCAGAGGATTATTCGACACTCACAAAAAATTATAAGAAATAGGGTTTCTTATAATAGAACTATCGAAATCTTAGTAGAATATTGCTAATGTATAGAAAAGTCCACGTATTTTTCTCAGAAATATGTAAAATAACAAAATTATGTGGTTAGTCATAATGGTTAGGCAATTTCAATAGTGTTTAATTTCAGATTTTTTAAAATTTACTTTTATTATTGTTTAAACAAACGGAAGCCAATTTGAATGATGGTAAAAATTTCATTACTCGTAAATTACGTAAAGGAAAAGATATCTATCATAAGCCTAAAAACAGGCAATTGTATAATATCTAACCACTTTTCAAAAAATAGTAATGGCGGAATTTAATTGTTACAGTTTAATTGGTATAGTTCCTAATATTTTGATTGTCAGACGATCTTGAATTTTCCATGTTTGAAAAAAGAAAAAAAAATATCTATCATCAGCTTAATTCGTGAATTTGAATTCTTTTAATTCGTAAAAATTATGTGAAAATTACAGAAAAAAGAATAAAAGAATTTTTCACATGTGTCTTCATTCCTTTGAAAGTTGAGCACGGTGCGCCTTAACCAAAGTTAAATAAAATGCTCTTACACCTAGAAAATTGGAAGAGATTCTGAATTTACCAGATATTAAAAATCAAAAAATCAAAATAATCTGTGGAGAGATTTTTAAAAAAATCTACTTTGAACATTTTTGCGCACGATTTTGAAAAATCTGGCGTTATTTTATATCAATAGAAAGGAAAAGAAATGATATAATATTTATTTTTCAGTTGTAATTCTGTTAAACTTTTATTATTTAAACATTTTACTGCTGATAAAATATGAAAATATAACATAATTTAATTATAATTACATCAATTTAAACATGTGAAGCATTGTATCTACAAACAGCGCTCGAAAGGTGTTTAGAATAACCGGGGTGATCTGCAGCAACCTTATTAATTTCCCAGGAAGACTTAAAGAAGTCAAAATGCACGGACTCCATCGCCTGCTCCCAAAAAAATGCTAATCCTTCACCGTTTTTGTCACAGAACTGTTCAATGTGAAAAAAAACTGCATGAACCTTTGGTGTAACGCTGACACCTAAGTCCATGTAGCTCTTTTTGAAAGCTTCTATACATGCTTTGTAGTTTTGGTCAAGATTATTTCCGAANTCTTCATTCCTTTGAAAGTTGAGTTCTGTCGCTAGTCTCTTGAGGACAAATTTGCGTTTAATTAGTTAATTTAATTTAACGCTACTTAATTTTGGCTTTTCTAAAACGATAAAAATTACAACAAATGTTTTTTTTTACAACTGATACATTGATACACTTGTCCTTTGAAACATTAGTTATATTTTGAATATTTAAAATATTAAGCAGCATGTTCGTAGAATTTAAAATTATAATTATTTCGCTTCTTCCAAGCAGAGCATTTCACTTAAGGCATAATTGCTATTCATTTAACTGTATGATATAAACTGAACAAGTAATTATCAATTATACATTTGACTGAATTTAAATTTATATCAAGTTGGAACAGTACTATTCACAAGAATAAATATGGTAAGTATTTTCTAAGAGTGAAGTATGCATATTATATTTTTGAAAGTAAACACGTCACATTAAAAGTTTAGCATAAACTAAATATGGATGGAAATTATTATGAATGCCCTAAAAGTTCACTTTCATTTAAATGCACATAACTTGAGTTTCCATAGAATTTACATTAAATCTTTAGAACCATTTGGGGTGATTCCGTCAAAATGATTAACGAAAACAGCTTTTATTTAATATAGTATTTTGTGGGAATAAAAGTTAAATTTAAATATGTCTGAATGTCCTTAAATTTGCATTCAAAATCTTATTTTCAAAATTATTATTGAAGATCAAATTATATGAAATCATGTAAAAGCGTTGAAATAATATTTATGAAAAATTCCATAGTAGTTTTAAAAGAATATCGTTTCAAATTAAATATAATTTCAATATGTTTAATTTCAATATAATTTGTATATAATTCTATTGTATTTCAATAAAATTTGTATTTCAATTTATTTTAGATAATTTCAATTTGAAATTTAGTCAGTATTCATGAATATCGAAACGTTTGATTATAAGAATACGCATAGTGAATAATAGTAATTTTGGTCAACTCTATTAATTATTGTGCATAAAAGTGTACGTCATTTTCTTTGTTTTACCATAAAAGTATTTAATCAAAGAGAAATTTCCTAGAGAAAAAACAATCTGAAATACTTCGATATGAAAAATTGTCAAACGATTCAGTACGATCTGTGTACCTAATGTTATATTTTGAAAGGTTTAACCTGTACTTGAAATTATTTGTTAACCCTATCTCACCGACTGTCACAAATAGATGGCTGCATGAAACGTAATCAATCAGTGTAAAAAGATAACGCTGAAAGGAAACTAATTTTTTTGCAGTTTATTTGAGGGCGGGGTTATAATAGTTTCATTTATTCCTTTATTTAATTCACCACTACTTAGTTCAAACGTAGATGCACTTTTAACTAACATGGATTAGATAAACGATTAGACTAACGTTGATTAAAGTGAAAGCAAGAAAAGTCTGTCAAATTATCCATAGACGAAATTTAGCTACCACTTTTTATATTTTTTACATCCCGATTCCGATTTTATACGATTTCTCTTTGGAATCATCCGTCTCGAAGGGGTTAAGGTGCATTTGCAGCTTCATTTGATGAAATTACTTATATTTTATTTCATTATTAGATATGATTATTATTAGTATTATTTTATTTCATTTACAAGACTTCGTAACGTAAGTACCCAAAACAAAAAACTTATTTTACACCCCTGGTGGTTTAGCAAATGAGCAAAATTTAGAGAATGTTTCTTCCCAATATATTATACCCCTCTCTAATAGCATGAAAAAGAATCAATAGCATGGAAAACCAATAATAATGCATGCACCGTTAGAAATTTCTCAGATAAAATGGTTAAATAACAATTTATTCAATTGTTATTTTGCCATATTCAAACAGAACAGTCAAATAACTATAAATAAGAAGGGTTTCAAACTGTTAACCGTGAGAAGAATAGTTTATTAACTGCTTTCACTTAATACGGTTAAACAACCAGAATTTTATCGCACTAACTAGGCCCACATAATGAAGCCACTTAGTTCCTTGAAGATGCATACATATTATAGGCGAGAGGACCTGTCTATGTCATGACCGACAGAGCAGGAGTTCTATTTCCGCCGTTGACACCGCAATATTTCCTTCATTTCTTTCATTTCTTTCAACACATGAAGAGTTTCCATGGTCCTGCACTTCCCAATTTGTGACCCTGGACCTTTAGAATACGATACTCTCATCCTCGCATAGATGACAGTACTGTAAAGCTGCTTAACAAAATTTTTTTTTTGTATTTCCCATCTCTTATGATAGCTAAATGCTAAATGTTAATCGTTAAAAAACCATTAAGTTTTTTAATCATGGTTTTTTACCTATACTTGTAGTAAACGGTTTCAACACCGTAAAGGTAAAAAAACTTGTTTTCCGCAAACTTTATGGTTAATTGGATGGACAGACTGCTACCGGTTAAAGTAATTTCGAAATGAAAATTCTATCAGTGTAACACAAGTACTCGAAACACATGTACTAGTTTCAACCCACTGGCAGTTTAGCAAGTGGGCAAAATGGAGATAATATTGCTCCCCATTACACTACTCCGTTATATAATAACATGGATAAACCAATAACATGGGAAACCACTAATAATACGTAAAACACATTCATTTCTATATCAGAAGTTTTTATTCATTAGCCTCTTTTAATTAAGATTATCCTGCTTAGTATTAGAGCTAACCACTTTGCATCAAGAAACGACATTTCAATATAAACCTAATAACCCTTGCCGTCAAGCTAACCGCGGGAGGTTCTCGCGTCTTCCTCTTCATGTAACGCAAATGCTGGTTAGCTTCATCAAAAAATCCTAAACGAAGGCAAATTTTTCCCAATACTTGAATCAAGAGTTTCCTTGTCTTCTGGCTTGGGTTCGAAATTACAAGGCTACGGAGTTGAACATTAGTATTCGCAAACCCATAAAATTGGGTCGGCTGTTCAACGACGGTTATAAAATTATAAAAAACATTATGAAACCACATGTTAACATCGTGAAAATACAATGTTACAACATATTTCAACATTAGGCCGGAATGGCCTGATGTGGAAACGAGAATAGACCAAAACTTCTAAGAATAGGCTAAAAACAAAATATTATGCATCATTACGAAACATTTCATTTTCTTTTTTTTAAGAACCGAATTAAGATGATTATGAGCTTCTAATGAGATTATTAGTTAGAAATATCTATTTGGATATAAAAAAAAACACTCATTATTGAAAATCAATTTCATTTTCTTGCATTTTTTTCATAATTCTTATTTTCTGAGAACGATTTTTGCATCTTCTTGTAAAAGTAATCAAATAAAAGTAATCATAATAAAAATTAAGGAAAATTATTATAGTTTGATAAAAAGAGTTAATTTTTCATAACTTTTAAATTGAAAAAATATTATTAGTAAATTACTTTAGTAATTATAACTTTCGGTGATTACGAAATCGTTGTTGATTACCTTATTTCATATCGCGATATTGGTAACAGTCATTTGAATAAATTAATAAGATAAAGACTAAAAGCAAAGACGCTGCGAACTTATATTTTTGTGGGGAGGAAAATTTCCATTTTGCCGAAAGAAATTCCTATTTTGACCGAATCATAAAGTAACGCCCACAATTATTCATACATAAAGGGACATCAAAAGGGACTCTAAAAATTTCTTGGTGATGAGGCTATAAGTTATAAATAACCTAGTTGTCAACTATTCCTATTTTCCTCAGAAAGTTTTACTTTTATATTTTAAAAGTTAGCAAAATGTATGCTTTGATTTTTTACTGTGTTTAATAAATTTGATTTAAAATGCTCGCTCACCCTTATACCTAATCAATTTAACCATATACATAAACATTCTGACAATCAATAATGTGGTGTTAAAGAAATTTATGATGGCAGTTTATAAATTGAATATGATTGGTGTAGTAAAAACTCTAAAGAGAATAACTAAAAAAAAAAAAAAAATCTACAGAAATCAAAATCTACTATCTTCAACCTTTTGCAATTCGAGGGCCACAACAATAATTTAATAAATTTCGAAGGCCGCGCATGTATTAGATAAAGGTGAGGAAATTCAATAAAAGAAGAAGAATAGTAGTAGTATAAGGTATTGATTATTTTCTGTTTCGGAATTTTGCTCTTGGAACGTATTATACTAATAACTGCTTCAATTATACATTCATAACATGTTAACAGTTTGGAAAAATACTGCGGTCGCAAATTTCCTTGATGATACAAAAATCTATTATAAGCTAATTTGAATCTCTCTATTTCGAATGAAACTGGTTTGCATGTATTCGGAAATAAGAGAACCAAGACGAGTGATTGACAATGGCATAAATTTCTTGAAGACGAAATTGTGAAATGGCTATCCTAAACTATTTTTATGGCTATCTTAAATAAGTAAAAGTGAGAAAATGAAATTTTGTAAGAATGCCGAATGACCATACAATATTTGCCGAATACTAAAAATCCTTGGGAGGTCCCAGCAACCTCCCATTCCAGTGCCATTGACTAAAAGATTAATTAAGGTAAAATTAATCGCTATAGCAATAAAGTGGTTTATAAAAAAATGTTCGAAGTATCTTTTGTAATTGTGTTCTAACATGACGCTGAAACCTGCATGGGTTTTCTGTGATTTTCAGCCTCACAACCTCATATTTAATAGTATAGTAAGCTGTTTTCTTCTTTATAGCCTTTATCACCTCTCAAACTTTGTTGGTCAAATTTTGATGCATCCTGCATATCGTTAAACATTGGTACATTTATAATCACCAAAAAAGAATAACGTTTGTTTTATTTTTTTTATACATATAAATATTACGAAATCTTTACAGAAAATATAAATGCATTTTTATAAATCGAAATGCACTTTAAAACATTTAAAAATCACAAAACTATATCTTACAAATTGAAGAATCTAAATATTTCGTTAACTATTTAACACTTTAAACATTTAACACACTTTAAAACATTTAAAAATCACAAAACTATATCTTACAAATTGAAGAATCTAAATGTTTCGTTAACTATTTAATATTTTTTAGAAATTAATGGAATTTTTAAAAACCATATTACATTTGACACTAGTCTGACCTGAACAATTTTTCACGAAATCCTTGATAACAGTCATAGCTTCACTCAATCAAGCCAGTTTACAATTATATTGATTACTATATAATACTAGTTGCTTCTTTCAGAAAATATTTATTTCAACTCGAAACTTGTGTTAGTGAAAGAAAAAAAAATAATCCCGATAAAATTTCATTAAATTCACAACTTAGGAAGCAAAGACAAGTAATCAGTATAATTGCATTCGTCATTTATGATTAATTGTTTGCCTGCAATCATTATTACTTTGTAATCAAACATCACATAATTATTGAGAGAGATGTTTCTTTTCGACGGCTGGGTTCGAACCTTTGCATAGTTGTAACCACCATGGAAAAGGGTATACACCCCGAATTGAGTTCAAAAGTTTTATATAATAACCATATAAATTGACGGTCAGCTCTATTACTTTAGTTAAAGTTCTTTACTGTAACGAGCACTGGGCATTTTTGTCAAGGAAAGGAGCTAGCTTTATAAACTGACGGTCAACTGTTCAAGTTTTTCGGAAATTTCTTTGAGTGTAGATATGTCAAAAGTGAAAATATCATGGGTGTTAACACACATATGATGGCCAATTAATCTTAATCTCTTTTTTCCCCTTTAAAAATATTGAGCTTTATAAACATTTTGATATGAAAAGTGTCTTTGTATCTCTTGATATGAATTAATAGAAAATGTTAAACACAGTGTTCTATCTTCAAAATAGGAATAATTTCATGTACTTTAAAAAATTGAACATTTTTAAGAATTGGTATTTGCATTTTTTTCTTTTAAACATAGAATACAATACATTGGGATGCACTATGTCACGATAGATAAATATTCTGAATTTAATCTTAAAAGTTACGGAGAAATCAATACGTGGTTAAAGTACTAAAACTAGATAATTCTAAAAAACCTTCTTTTTAAAAAAAATTTTAAATCAACATTTTGTCTGAATCTAAGAATTGCTTATTTCTAATACCTATCGCTAGGTGCCACTAGTAAAATATAGATTTACAGAATTTAAATACACTCAAATAAATTCCTCATATAATGATTTCATGAACATATTTCTCATAAACCTTTGAAGTAAAGATGATTAAATAATATTACCTTTTCTCTGTACTGTCTCCTCGAGGAATCCAGTGACTGTATGAGATTTGTGGTGTGACCGAGGAAGAGAGCGTAGCAAGTGGCGCCGCTTATCATACTGAGCAGAGTTAACCACATGTCGGTCAGGCTCTGTGGGGGAAAACGTCCGTAGCCGATGCATAGCATGTGTGACATCGCCTTGAATAACGCCCACGAGTACTGATTGAACCAGTGGGCAGTCTGAAAGAGTGTCAATCATATTAGCAACAGGCACATTTAATGTAACTTTTAACAAATTGAAAATTATTCAATTAACCCCTTCGCTTTCGCTCCCGTCAAGACTAAAAGGGTGAGATTTTGTCTTCTATTTCTCGTGCCCGTGATATCTCCGGGTTAGAGAATTCAAACGTAACGCACCGAAAAGGCTTAAGTATATCCATTTTTTGTGTCCGTAATTTTTTTTTATTTCTTATCTTGCACACTAGATGGCTGCACCCGATGCAGTTGTTAGTGCAACTAGAGATAGTTTATTTTAAACTAGATGTTATCACTATCCAAATATATGTATTTGTGATATGTATTTCGTACTCTTAGCTCAGCTACTTATGATCTTTGTGAATACACGAGGTTTGTGTTCTATGATAAAATATTTTTCATATTATGTACATTATGCATATGTAAAGTCACATGGACATATTGAGTACAAATGGAGTTTTAAATTTCAAGATAAAAAAATTCCAAAAATAAAAAATAATTACATACATTGTACATATACATTTATATATATATATTTTTTTAATAAAAAAGGCACTTTTATGACCGTTTTTTGAAAATAATAAGATCGTTTGAAGCTGTCAGTTGTTCAATCAAATGCTATTGATAACAGCAGACAGAACGTAATAGTTATTTTATGTCACATTTGACAGCATCTAAGTTATTCATTGAATAAAATAATTACAATATTTATGTCTTGCGCCTAAAGATTCAAAATAAAATGTAATCAATGTTTTCAGACAACGCGTAGGAGTTCGTTTTACAGAAGTTTTAACAAAACCAGAAATTATTGATTGCACAAGGAGGCAGGCTGGAACGAGTAGACTAGAATATATAATTTAATTAAATGTTACAGATATTTAATTAAATCATCATATAGTCAACAGATTTTAGGGTATTTGATATTAATTATTAAAATGGTTTAACTGTATGAGCAAGGGATAAATATTAAAATGTCAATCTGTCTGAAAAATTGAAATACATATTAAAAATCAGAAATCAGTAAAATAATTTTAAAACCAAATGAACTAAAACGATAATGTCATATAATTTATATTAGAAGAACAGTTCTAAGCCTGAAAGATATCCTTAGAAGGATAAAAAAAAACCTTTTTTCAGTCATTTTAATATTAAGTTTAGCTAAAAATGTAGCTTTCATTTGCGTAAAAATATGAATTATCTATACAAATATATAATATAATTAGAATCAGTTTTACAGCTCTTTATTTGAAGCTATCCTTGTACAATCTGAAAATATCCTTATTATATAATTTGAATAAATTGAACAGCTTTGAATCAGAAAAATAATCAGATAAGAATATAAAATATTCCTGTTAAAACATTTACATACAAAGTATGACAATTGTTCTAGAACTATCTATCCATATACGTATAGAAATATCGATATTATATAACCTAAATCAATGGAACAGCCATTGTTCTGAATATATCAGTAAAAGTATTCAAAAGAACTCTCATATGAACATTTATTGATCCAAGTACATTAATATAAGAACAGAGAATATGCTTGTAATATCATTTGAATACATAATGCTGCTCTTGTTCTGAAAATATATTCAATAAACTGAAAACCTTCATGTTACAACATTTGGTAGAATAGAACAGCTATTGGGCAGAAATACCTAGATAAGAATAGACTACCTCTCTTCTTTCAAGAAGAATAGTTCTAAATTGATCAAGGGGAAGCCATTTTATTTTTAAACTCTAAATAGATTTTTTTTGTTATCGTTTATTTCGAACGTAAGGTAGGTCAAATCCAACTTTTGCTTCAAGAAAAAGAGCAGTAGAAATTGTAGAAACAAATCCCTTTCTGAATTTTTCAGTTCTTTCATACCACAAGGGAATTTTCTTAAGAAATTCTTTCTTATATTCCAAAAATACTTGAGTCGCATGGGATGAGCGGAAATCCTTTATAAGATCCAAAACATATTTCTATTCCAAAGAACTTCTTGCATTGTTCTGAAGTTGAATAGTCACAGTGGAAGGAAGAAAAAGGAAAACTTCTGGACACGCTTTGACAACTTCGAAAGTTATATTAAGAGGGACTTTCGCCTGATAAGAAAGATTTGAATATCAAATAAGGAGGCATTCCGAATGAGAATCCTTGACATTAAAGGATAGAGTTTAGAATTTGGTTGAATAACCACTTGATTTTGATTTGAATGGAAAAGTTTTATTACATTTCATTTGCGGTTATAGAATTTTAAAATTATTTTATGATTAGCAATCTTTAAGCATTATAAAATGAGGCAGAGCTAACTTGTATGTATGCGGAATTAAACTTTTAATTATCTAGTTTCATTTTTTAATTATAACACAGATGGTAGTATGAAAAGGATATTTCAAAAATACTCAAGTTTGGAGTTGCATGGTATGAGCAGAAATACTTAATAAGATCCAAAACATATTTCTATTCCAAAGAACTTCCTGTATTGTTCCGAAGTTGAATAGTCACAGTAGAAGGAAAAAAAAAGAAACTCTCTGGACACGTTTTGACAACTTTGAAAGTAATATTAAGAGTAAGAGAGACTTTTGCCTGATAAGAAAGATTTGAATATCATACAGGCAGGCATTCTGAATGAGAATCCTTAACATTAAGGGATAGAGTTTAGAATTTGGTTGAATAACCACTTGTTTTTGAATTAAATGGAAAAGTTTTACAAAATTTTATTTGCGGTTTTAAGATTTTAAATTATTTTATATTTAATTATCTTTAAGCAGGATAAAATAAATCAAAGTGAACTTATGTGCATACAGTACTAAACTTTTAGTTATTTAGCTTCATTTTTTAAACTTTAACAAAGATATTAGCATGAAATGATTTTTTTTTCAAGCTATAAATGAAGCACAGTGACTGTTTTGTGGAAGTTGTATTTTCAACGATGATCATAATCTTTATTAAAAGATAAAACACTGCTCTTTATACTGTTTTTTATTTGAAAAAAAAAACAAGCATGAAGAATAAGAAAATGCTAATTAAAGTCAAGAGTGTGCAATATAAAATGAATATTCAGATTTCATGAAAATTTGAGGGAGCAACTGTTCACAAATTTGCACTTTGACTGTGTACATTATTTGAGAGAGCCATGAAGGTGCGAGACGGTGCAGATTTTTATTCCACCAAATGGATTTTGTCATGCATTATTTTAGGGAGACGTAAAGTGGCGAGGCCTTCAACGATTACGATACCTCCAATTTGTATTTGATATACTAATGTCAGGAATTAAAAGTAAAGCTATAAATAATGTTGAGTTTATGGAGCCTATGTGAAACCAAGACGCAGCGTGTTCGAGTAGGCAGTCAACCCATCCCGTTAGACAGTTAGTTTTTAAATAAATTGGACGGCAATCGATTTCACCAATGGCAATTGATAAATAAGTTTATTTAGACATGTCTCTTTTGAGGGAATTACAAGAGATATCTCCTCTATAAACATTAGTAATTAAGTAATAAATCAGTTAGATAGTTCATTTTCTAAAAAAAAAAATTAATCTCTAACTAGCTATTTTGTGATATTTGTGATGTGTGTATATCAATATTTTTTACCGTAATTTTTCACAGTCCAATTTTGATGATTATGTAAGAAACAACAGTAGGCTAAATTAATAATTCAATTAAAGAATTTTAGATTCAACTTTTAAAGGAGATTAAAATCTCCCATAGAAGTTGAATATAGTTAATTGGGATATGTTTGAAACAAAATTAAAATATATGATCCTGACATTTTTTTTACGTAAAACAATATTAATCTAAAAAATGGGAGAAATTTTTTAACAGTGATTTAAAATAGCGATAATAATGATTTAGTTTCTTATAGACGCTGTATGTTACATGCTCATATTCACGTTAGAATAATAGAAGTTAATACACAGAGAGTTATGATTAGATTTAATTCATGATTAGATTTTTTTTATTCTCGTATTTTATATAATATCATGATATCGGTGTTATGACACTGCAAAAAATTCCGGATCAAATTAAAATATAATTTAAAGCTGCCTTGGGTGCATGATCCGCGAAATCTATTTCCCCCTAAAATCCATTTTTACAGTAAAATATTTTACCGCAATTTTTACAGTAATATTTATTTAATCAGAGTAATTCAAAAATTTTACGATAATTATTACTGTAAAAATTGAGGTATATGAGAGTTTTTGTTCCGTAACATATTCCGGTAAAAATTGATTTTCGGTAAAACGTGTCTGCAACCTCAGTGACAGTATTTTTTACCGTAATTTGATCCAGAATTTTTTACAGTATAGAAGAACCTCCGATGCGTGTTAGTATGTACAAATCACGTATCAAAAACTTGGCCAAGATTTACTCTCACTTGCGAAGTTCTTCTTTAAGAAATAAAAAATCTTTTTCGTTTAATCTTGAGTTACATTTTTTTAAAAAAATTTTATGCAGCTTACATGCTGTTTATTTAAACCTTTTATAGTGTTTTATTTTGCATGTAAAATAGTTTTTCTCAAAGAAGTATTTCCACAATTAAAAAAGTTTTATATTGTGAACAAAATGATGTACATAGTTCAGCATTTTTAGCCTTCATTTATTAGATTTATGTCGGACGAGGCAAAGAACAATTACTTTCTTGTAACCATGAAGCCATTAAGATTTTTTTAAAGTACCTTTATTTTGACATTAAGTCTGATAAAAACTACTAATATACTTCTAACGTTTCACTAATTACAGTTTAAACGATTTTCTTAGTAATTTTATAGCTTTGAAATTGAAAATAAATCTTACTTACTGTGGAATTTTTTGTTTTTCGGCGAGGTAGTAGAAATATTCTCCCCTTTATTGTCCTGTATACGTGGATCAATACATCTTCTTATCCAACTAAATCACGTTTTTCTTAACTATTTCTCGTCTTCCATGTACACACATAAAAATATTGAAATTCTGTTACATTTTTTCGTTTTTCAGGTATAAAATGGAGACTT